TGGGGATCGAATTTGTGCTGCAGTGGCTGGCGCTAGCTTGATAGTGCTGACACTTAACCCCTGCACCACCAGGGAGGCCCAAATGGAGACATTTTTAATTACAGTTTTGATTTAAGAAGTCATACAATATAAAAGTCACCATTTAAACTATTTCAAAATGTAGCTGGGTGTTTGTCAGTATATTCGCACGTGTGCTGCGGCACTCCTGACACCTAGTGGGCAGAGGCCAGAAATGCTGCTAAAATCCCAGAAAAAGGAATTCGCTGACCCCATATGCCAGTGTCGAGGTTGAGAAGTCCTTCTCGGCAGTTACAGTGCACGCACACGTCTAAGGAAGTCAGTACTAACCCAGGGTAACCTCCCTCTTGTCTCAAGAATGTCATTTTAGCTCTGGAGGCCAGGGTCACATATTGCATTTGATGGTGGGGTCCTTCTCTCTCTCTTTCTTCCTTTTTTTAATATAGAAGACTTCACTGCCCCACAATCAATATTTTTGCTTGATTTTTTTGTTTTTTGGGTAAGAGTATAGGCCAGGGCCTGCCTGGTGGTACAAAGTGCTAAGTCTCATCACTATGAAGCGAGCCGCAGTCACTGCAGCGTGAGTTAGAGCCCAAGCCCCAGCCAGGGAGCTGACCCACATGGCACAGCAGACCTCTCCTGTCCCGCCTGCTGTTCCCCTCAGCAGTGTATTTCAGTCAGTCTACCTGTTCTGTTCCCCACTCTGTCTCTAATGTATCTTTTCACACACACCGCTCCACCAGTGCCACTGGCCTACACCCCAGCTCTTGTATGCATAAATAAATAAATCTTTAAAAAAAAAAAAAAAAAGGGCCTCCCTGGTGGCCCAGCCAGCTACTGAAGAAGGAGTGTGATCCCCGGTGGGGCAGCCAGGGAGCAACCCACGTGGTGCAGCAGACCTCTCCTGCCTCACCTGCTGCTCCCTTCAGCAGTGTATTTTAGTAGATGTGCCTGTTCTGCTCCCCACTCTCTCTGGTGAATCCTCTTACCCCCCGCACCTCTGGCTTACACCCCAGCTCTTGTATGCATAAATAAAATAAGTCTTAAAAAAAAAAAGTTCAGGCCAGTTTTATAACATCATATTCTGGGGTTATCTGATTGTTTCCTGAAGATTAGATTAATGCTAACATTTTTTGGCAGGAATACTACGTTGGCAATGATTATATCACCTCAGGAGGCCTATAATAGGAGGTGGTGGCACTATTTATGATGTAGAAATTGGATAATAGTGTAGTTTGGAGAACAGAAGTAAGGTGTAGCCTCCCACACTTGCCCATCCAAGTGTGGTATCCAGGCAGCCACCCTAGTTGGCTTACCCCTTCTGAGAAGCAGGGAGAGCCTGAGGTGCACAGTGGATGAGCCCTCTCTTTCTTGCAAAAGGAAAAAGCCTTACCTTCAAGAGTCAAGGGGAAGATCCCAAGAAATTGGGGTTCCCTTTGGGATACTATGTTGACTGAGAGGACTTGAGAGGACCCTTGGTTCCCTGGAAAAAGAAAACTGGGGGGCAGAAGTGGGATGAATCCCTTGATCCTGGAACCAGGAAGCTGAGCGTGTGGGCTGGTGGGGGACAGAGGTTGTGGGCCCCTGGGCATTCCTTTGGTGAACAACTAGGCACTGGAAGCTACTCTTTCCTTCCTCCTTTTAGGAAGTTCCCTCCACCTGTAGGAACCCTCCTTAAGTACCACCTCCTCCAGGACACCTGCTGGTATTGCAGGAAGAAGGAAAGTTTCCTGTTCTCATGGCCCTTCAGGCTAGAACCACCAAGAGGACAGGAATTCTACCCCATTACAATGGAAGTGGGAAACTTAACAGCCTGAGTAATATGCTTTTAGAGTCAACATTTAAACAACATATAAAAATTCAGTTTTCTGGAAAAAGTGAAGCTCTGACAACCCAGAGTCTTCCTCCCCACCTGATGTCAATATCTTCACCTTGTAGATGAAAGACCCACTCTTCACACCTCCCTAATATTGACTTTGAGTGTGGCTTTTAGTCTTGCTTCTGCATTATCACCCCCCATGTTGAAGTGGAGACTAGTTTCCTCTGAAAAAATATGACAATAAAAGAGAAGTCAAAGGGCCATGTGCTTCAGGGAAAATGGAGAAGGCACATTTCTTTGTGAAACAAGAATATTCTTGTATGCCCAAATGCAATCAAAGTGTTTAATAAATGACAATGTCAAGGGCCTCCCTGGTGGAGCAAGGGGTTAAGATGCAACCTATGAAGCGATCTGCAGCTACTACAGCACGAGTACAATCCCCAGCCAGGGAGCTACCCACATGGTGCAGCAGACCTCTCCTGTCTCGCCCGCTGCTCCCCTCAGCAGTGTATTTCAGTACATCTGCCTGTTCTATTCCCCACTCTGTCTCTGGTGAATCCTCTCACCCCCACGCCTGCACCCCAGCTCTTGTATGCATAAATAAATAAATCTTAAAAAAAAAGTCAATGTCAAAATGTGTTAAAAAATGTGATTCCAAATGTCATTGTGTCTTAGCGCCATATTTGGGGGTTCAAGTGGAGTTCAGACTCCTCAATTTGGCTCTCAGTTCCACCACTTACGAGTTATGTGACTCAGACAAGACTATGACAACACCCAGAGGCCCCTGCAGTTTAAAACCCTTCCTGAAATACTCCAGTTCAGTCCAAGTGCTATCCTAGCAGCAGAAACATGCCATACACATGACTTTCAAGGTTGAGCTGAGATCCCACCCCCAAGCCATTTCTCCCTAGACTGGGAATTAGCCCAAAGTCAATACCTGCCCAAGCCAAAAGTCAAACCTGGCTTTCAAGGCCAGCTTTTAGATCGTGACTTTGGCAGAGGGTGCTGGTCCATGTGACCCACTCTACCCCCTAGGCCCCAGGACATGGCCTCTGGCAGTCAGGACTTTCATAAACATCACAGGTTGACCTTGGGGATGTTCAGTTAAGGTCAAGGGAGGGCCATCAGGCCCTGCCCAGATCAGAGGGACTCACCATGAGGTCTCCAGTCAGTCTTTAACAGTAGATGCAGGATTTCCAGAACCAGGGCCAGGGAATTCTGGGTCAAAGATGACTCTCCTATGGGACATGAGTGAGGACACAGGAGCCTTGGAGACTAGAAGACAGTTTAGGTCCACGAGGGAAACAAGTCTTAAACCATAAAAAATGTGGAAAAGAGAGATAAAGAAACAGAAGATATCAGTTGGGAATGTGTTTAGCTGCAAGTAAGAGAAAGCCAAATTTCACAAGCAGTTCCTGCTCCCACCACAATCTCCAAAGATGGGACCAGGGCCTGTGGATTACTGATTTGGGGACAATGCCTCAGGTATATTTGATGGCCCCAAGTGACTCAGCCAGGACGGGGGCACAAGAGGTGCCAGACACCTTCACCCGGAACTGGCATCACTCTGAGAAGGGAATGCCCAGGTGAGGTGGGGGGGGGGACACCTGGACAGCTATAGCCTTGGGGGAAAGTCAACATCAGCTGCCAGGGAGGCCTTGACACCAGGTCTGCATTGTGACAATGCAGTGGGAGAAATGGAGATGGACCCTTTTCTGGATTATCAGGGATCTCCTGGGAGTGACTTTTTCTGACTCCCTGGCCTTGTCCCCTAGGGCAGTAGGAGACCCTATGAGCAACTTGAACTGTACCTGGAGTCAACCACAGCGAGCCCAATGTCAGCCTGACCCCAGAACAAGCATCGCCACCATCTGCAGAGGAAGGCTGCCACAGGCCCATCTTCTGCAGAGCTCCCCCTCCCTGTGCAACCTGCACTTCAAGGCCCACTACTGGCACCAACACCAAGCCAAGGGCCACCAGAGGTCAACGTTAGGTGCCCACCTACTGTGGGAGGACTTCCCTTGGCATCCTCCCGGTCGGAATAGCCCGTGAGAAGCTGGGCGGCTGAGTCCAGCAGTCCCTTCATCCCCTCCCACTGCCTTGGTCAGCCCTATTTGCACATTGAGGTCTCAGGGCTGATTCAGCCAGTTGCCCTTTTTCCCCAATGGACAAGTGTGTGATAAGCCGTCCTCCAGAGGGGCGAGGAAAGGCAGGGGTGTGTGGGGTCCAGTGTGCCCTACCATCTCCACAAAAGGGCCGTCCTCACCCGGGCCCTGTGCTGATAAGACCAGGCATGGGCACAGGCCTGATAAGGCAGGGCGGAAGAGAGCAGCCATTAGCACTAATGAGCCAGGCGGCCTGAAAGCTTTTTACTTGGAAGCTGCTTGCCCACCCAGGGAACAATCCGTCCTGCCTCCCCGGCTTCCAGGAACCCCAGGCGGAAAGGGGCTTGGGGGCAGGGGTGGGGGGCTTGGAGAAGCCTGGGGGGGAGAAGAGGGGAGAGGGCAGGGATAGAGGCAGGAGGCCCTAGTTTTGGATGGGTAGGTTTCTCCCCTTCCCTTTACCGCCCACTAAAAATCCCAGGGTCTAGGTCTGCACCCCACCCCACCCCACCCCGCTCTGGCCACCCCCTTCAATGGTCTTGACCCAAGTTCCTGGAAGCAGAGGAAGCAACATGCCACGTCAGATCTGAGTAGGCATGTCCGGGGCCACAAATTAGATTAAGCTGACAGGGCCGCCTGCCTTGTTATTGCTAATGGTTCCAGCCCAACTCCTAGGTCCCTGCTCCACAGAAATTTGGGGCTCCTGGGCACGCATCTTCTTCCCAAACTTTGATTGGCTCTTGATGACCTCACCTAAAACTGGGTGCCCAGTAGAGCACCCAAAACCCTGGGTCCAGGAAGAGAAGCCGGCACCGAGCCCCCACCCTCTAGGAAGGGCCCCTCATACCCTGGCTCCAGGGCACAGTCACGTGTGGGTTCTTCATTAGACCCTGTCATATAAGCTGAGAGACGGGGTGGCCAGGAAGTCTCCAGGCTCCAGCAGACAGCGGTAAGTCATCAGGTTGGGCAGTTTCCGCTTGTCTGGGGGCCTCTCTCTGGGACTGGGCACCTAGGAGGTGCTCCAGGGAGCACTTAAGTGGGTCTTCTTATTGAGCCAGGCCATGCTGCTCACAGTTCTGCTGAGCTGTGTCTTGCTGCTGGCACTGCCCACCATGCAGGGGGCCCAGATGGGCATGGCCCCCCTGGACGGCATCAGAAGAGCAGACCAGGTTCTGCTGCCAGAGCTGCCAGGTCAGTGTGGGCAGAGGGTTGGGACTTGGTATGTGCCCTCCTTCCCCCTTCCCAATCCCAGGCCTGAAAGATTGGTGTTTTGTACCTGGGGGGGGGGCGAGGGTAGGGGGTTCTGCCCTCACATCATCTGTCCCAGGCCTGGGCCTGCGCCCCACGCTGAAAAGGACAAGCGCTGAACTGGCAGAAGAGGCTCTGCTGCAGGAGGCCAAGGCCTTGGCAGAGGTAACTGCGGTGGGGAAGGGGTGAGGCCGCAGGCCTTGGGAGGGGCTGCGAGGCGGCAACCTCTCTCTCCGCCTCCCGACCCCTCCCTGGGGCAGCGCCTTTCCTCCCCAGGGGGGCTGCCATCCTGCCCGGACCTGCCTTGGGGGCCCACACCACGTGCTCGCCCCCACCCCCGCAGGTGCTGGACCCGCAGGGCCGCGAACCGCGCACCCCGCGCCGCTGCGTGCGGCTGCACGAGTCCTGCCTGGGCCACCAGGTGCCCTGCTGCGACCCGTGCGCCACGTGCTACTGCCGCTTCTTCAACGCCTTCTGCTACTGCCGCAGGCTGGGCACCGCCGCCAACCCCTGCGGCCGCACCTAGCCGGGCGGCGGCCAGCGGGCGGCGGGCGGGCCGCGCGCGAATAAAGGCTGGATGGGCCCCCCCAAGTCTGTGGTGTTATTTCGAACTGGGCCCTCGCCGGAGGGGGCAGGTCACGGCAGGGGTCGGGGGGTGGGGGGGCTGCCGAGCCAGGAGCCACACCCCAAGCCCACGGCTGGGCGACCCCACCTGAGTCACTTACATGCGGGCCGCTCGGGCTCCAGGCGCCGCTGGGGAGGCGGTGGGGACACGCGCCAGCCCCGGGGACCTTCACGACTGACAGGGGAGGTGGGGGCCCACCGCGCGCCAGGGGGGTTCAGGGCCTTCTGGCCGCTAACTCGACGCGTGGCCCTCAGCAACGCCCGCCCGCGTCGGCCCGCGCTTCCCCTCGAGGGGCGGCTGACTGAAATGTCTGGAATCTTCTCCAGCTCACTCTCGCTTGACCCCACGGGCCCCACCGCGCCAGGGGCACCGAGGCCGGGCGCGCTGGCGCGGAGACCAACGTAATCCCCGCGACCACGGGCGCCACCTCGCGGCGGGCTCTGGGCGCGGCAAGTCGCGCCCGCTAGGGCGCTCGCGGCGCGTCTGTTCTCAGCGCGCAGGCGCCAGAGGCCCGGCCCCGGCCCGCGCAAGCACCCGGAAGCTGGGCTTCGCGCAGAGCCCCGCCCCCTCGCGGTCACGTGACGCGGTGGCGCGTCACCTGACGCCCTGACAGCCCGCTGCGGCGCCGCGTCAGCTGATCCTGGAGTGGCGCTGCTGCCGGCCGATCGGGGTTCTCCGGTCCCGCCGCAGCCATGTCGTCCTTCCCGGAGCTTTATTTCAACGTGGACAATGGCTATTTGGAGGGACTGGTGCGCGGCCTGAAGGCCGGGGTGCTCAGCCAGACGGACTACCTCAACCTGGTGCAGTGCGAGACGCTGGAGGGTGAGCCGCGGGGCCGGGCGGCCGGGCCTTTCCAGCCCGGCAGGGAGGCCGGCCCGGGCCCGAGGGTTCCGAGATCTGGGCCGGGAAACCGGAGGAGGGGCTTCTCGACGGGCCCGAGAAGTCGGGGAGCCGTGGCTCGGAGGCCTCTCTGGGAATCTGGGGGCTGATGGCGGGCGCGCCGGAAATGGATCTACCTCCAGCCGAGGCGCAGAGCGGGTCCAGACGCAAACAAGGCTTTAAGAACCGCAGCGGTTCGCTGCTTCTTGGACTTTCCCCTTCCCCCATTACGTCCACTGTGGAGAGGGTCGCTTGGGAGTGGTTTACCGGTGCGAGATGTGTCGTACAAGCTTCGCTACCCTGACTGAGCCCGAGGTGTCACGTAGCCACGCTTAGGGAAGCTAAGCGGAAAAGTGCTCCACTTCCCCCCAGCACATGAACCAAGGCCTGTGGGATCTTTTTGTCCTTTCGTTGGCCTGTGGGGTGAACCTTTCTGGGGAGTTGCTGAGCCATCTTAGCGAGGGTTTCATCCCATCATGGAAACACTGACTGAGTAGAGTCTCCTGAAGGCAGTGTTTGGGAGATAACAAGGGTTAGCCCTGCAAATCTGAAGTTCAGACACAAGTATTTGGCCAATAAGAGCAAAGATCCTTAGAGGGAAGCATGTCTGTTGGGACAGGGTTTCTTAGTACAAGAATGGTGAGAGGCGGGATTCCCCTTATTAGTGCACACAGTTCCAAAATGGGGTTGATGCGCTGAGGTTGAATAAAACCTCAAATTAACAGAATTAGAGATAGCCCCAATCCCAGTCTTTGCCTCCCTCCACCTCTGGCCCCCAGATAGTGGCTAGGGGCACAGTGACTGGGGTGTAGGTTCCCGTTCCTGACCCCCAGATGATGTCCTGGAGCAGAGGTGCTGGTAGCCTGTGATTGGTAGCTGCAAGAGGAAGATGGTCAGATGATTTACTTTGGAGAAATTTTCTAGTCAAAGCTTATTGAGGTTAAAAGTGATCTCTGTGAAAAAAAAAATCAGTTATTATTTATCCTGCAAACTAGACCAGTAATGTGGAGATAAATACCTTTAAAAATTTAAAATACCTTTAATATAGTTGTGAACTTTATGGTTTTAACATAAATGTACAAGTAAAGTTATTCACCTCCTTATGAGAATGGAGGAGGGAAGGAGAGGAACGCACTTTAGTGCTGGGTTCTAGGAGCCTGTCCGCAACTTTATGGTCCTCACTGTGAGAAAAGAAGGAGAAACAGAGTGAGGATGTCTGGGGCAAGGCCTGTCACGCATGGCATTTAATGTGACTTTTGTGGACTGACTGGAACTGGAGGAAGATCTTTAGTGGCTTAGGAAGGTGAGCATCATTGATTACCAACTGGCATTTGGTAAACTTGTTTCTCTTCTAGGCTTTCTCTATTCCCTCTACTGTCAGCCCTTCCCCTTCCTGGAGAGCTTCTGGGAGCACAGGGTTCCCACCTCCCCAGCAGACCCTCCTCCATTCCTCCATAAACACATTAGATCTTTTTTTTCCTACCACATTGCTGAGCACTTGGTCCACTTTGAGTCATGAATGGGTATTCACCATCCAGACCTTTAGTGTGACATTCAGGGATTCCCTTGCTCTTCCACACGTATTCCTTTCCCTCACATAAACCATCCTCCCAGTTCTTGGGGTTCGTGGTGTGATGGATGTTGGAATTGGACAAATCTGAGTTTGAATCCCAGCCTGCCAGTTACTGGATGACCCTAAAATCATCACCCAAGTTATTTACCATCTCTGGACCTTGGGCTTTTCAGCTGGTATATTAACAGTGTCTATTTCATAAGCTCGTGAGATATCAACAAGCTATTCTGTGCCAAAGACTTGGTCCAGCACCAAGGACAGAATAAATGCTAGAAAAATGTCAACTCTTTCTTATTTTTAGTACTATTTTCACCTGCCAATCCCTCTTGTGCCTTGTTCCCATGAAGCCCAGCGAGTCCCACCCTTCAAGACTCAGCCCCAGTGCCACCCCATCTTTGAATCCCTTTGTGGCCATGCTAGGCATGCAGCCACAGCTCCTGTGGTGTTTGTGCTGCTTTCTTAGATGTTTCTCCGAACAAACTTTTGGATTCCTGGGACCCTGATGCTGGAGGTGCTCAGGACTTTTAGGGTTGGGGATAACCAGAGAGGAAGTTGTGCCTGGATCCTATATGTCTTCTACCAGAAGGCCTTCTCCACTTCTGAAGGTGACACCAAAGGTCTGGTATCCAGTCTTTTCTTGCTGGGTGTTTTGACTTCCCTGTCTCCATGGGATGGTGAGAAGAGAAGGGGGAGGCACGAAGGGGAGACCAAAGATGCCTGTGGTCCCTAGTAATATCTGAAGGTGTGTCCTGAGATGGTGACTTTTCCCAAGAACAGTTCCCGGAAGGCACAGGGCATTGGGCTGAGGGTGTTTATTTGTGCTGCAAGTATAGACGCTCCACCCTGCCTTAGCCTCCCCGCTGGATTCCACTCTAGTAGGATATCTGCTTCTGACCTTCTCTTGGTCTCTTAGGAACTTGTAGCCTGTGGATCCTCCTCCATTGTCCGTCTTGCTTGATTGTCTCTATTAGGCGTAGGAGAAGGAATCTGGAGAAGTCTTTCCCCTTTGGTAAATTGAGGGTACAAAATTCTGTGGTTACAAAACTTTTTCCAGTTCTGAGTGTTTCTGGATGAATTGATTACCTTCTGGAGCTGGGTCCTGTGCTAGGGACTGGTGGGAAAGAAGAGGCAGGTTTGAGATTAAGAAAGAGAAATATACGAGAGAAAGCATTCATTCAGCATGTAGCTACAGAGCACCCATTTTATTATTTTTTTTTAAGATTTTTATTTTATTTGTACAAGAGCCGGGGTACAGGCCAGATGCGCAGGAGGGTGAGAGAATTCACCAGAGACAGAGCGGGGAACAGAACAGGCAGACTGACGAAATACACTGCTGAGGGGAGCAGCCGGCGAGACAGAAGAGGTCTGCTTGCCATGTGGGTTGCTCCGAGGCCGGCAGGAATCGAACAGGCACTGCAGAGGCTGCAGACAGCTTCATAGCACTGTGCTCAACTGCCTGCGCCACCAGGGAGGAGGCATGGAGATGGGGACTTTGTTGAATGGTGTCTCTTGACCCTCATAGCTTGGGGCTTGGTCATGGGGGCAGTTACCAGTGTGAATGGTAATTTGTGACTCTGAGTCTGTGTAACCCCTCTGTCCTGAATGTCATCATCTGTAAAATGGTAATAATAATAATAGTGCCTATTTCTTAGGTTGGTTAGCATGAAGTTGACACGTGGTAAGTGCTGAGTTGGTGGTGCTTTCTCTCGGAGCAACCCACATGGCAAGCAGACCTCTCCTGTCTCACCTGCTGCTCCCATGCTCCCCTGTGAGCTGCTGTGACTGTTGTTATTTTAAAGTAAGATTTAAAGCAAATAGACACATATTAAATCACCCATGACATAAGCAGTAGAGGAAGGATGGTGAATAACAGGGGAGCTCTCTTTACAGAGTGTGACAGGTTAAGGTCCAGCTGAGGAAAGGACATTCTAACTGAAATACGAACAAGGAGGAGTGGCCCAGGGGAGAGCTAGGGAAAAAGCATCTCAGGCAGAGACAGACCTGGGCACTACATCGATGTTCAAATGGTCATTTGCTCATTCAAGAAACACTTCCTGAAGGTCTACTATGTGCCAGTCCCTGAGCCTTATAAGAGAGTCTGGCAACTTATTTATTTATTTATTTATTAAAGATTTGTTTTATTTATTTATGTTTACAAGAACTGGGGTGTAGGCCAGGGGTGCGGGGGGGTAGGGAGGGGTGAGAGGATTCACCAGAGACAGAGTGGGGAGCAGAACAGGTGGATCTACTGAGATACACTGCTGAGGGGAGCAGCGGGCGAGACAGAAGAGGTCTGCTGCGTCATGTGGGTCACCTCCCTGGCCGGGGATCAAACTGGTGCTGCAGAGGCTGCAGATAGCTTCACAGTGCTGTGCTTAATCCCTTGAGCCACCAGGGAGGCACCCCCAAGCCTTTGTTCTTAACTTTGACCCTGAGTTCAGTCTAAAAG